TTGGATCATTGTATGACTGAAATCCAATCATGCACAGCTTTGTTAATGGACTATCTCACAAATATTCAATTTAATTTTTTTAAACAATAAAACAAGACACACAAGATGTTAAAGAATTAACAGGCTTTAGGCTGAAGGGGTAGTACAGTGGGTAAAGGCACTTGCCTTGCATGTAGCTGACACAAGTTCAATTCCCAGCACCACATATGGTTGCCTGACCTGAGCCAGGAGGCAACCCTGAGTGCAGCCAGGAGGCATGACCCAGAAACAAAGAAAAAGATAAAAGGGGAAAAAAGACAGAAAGAATCTACAAATGAGGACCAGGAGGAATGGTCCCTGGTTAGAAGCTGGGGAGAGGGAAATGGAAGGAGGCAGTTAAGACAAAAGAGGAACCACTATGGTAATGACAGTTAGAAATGATCACTCTGGACAAAACTGAAAAGTGGTAAAGGAATATACATGATCACGGTCACAGTCCTCCTGTTGTTCATGGATTTGTTCGAGCGGGTTCAGTAACATCTCCATCGTGATACTTGTTATTACTGTGTTTGGCATATCGAATACATCACGGGTAGCTTGCCAGGCTTTGCCATGCAGGCGAGATACTCTGGGTAGCTTGCCGGGCTCTAGGAATCGAACCTGGCTAGGCCAGGCCGGCTGCGCGCAAGGCAAACGCCCTACCACTGTGCTATTGCTCCAACCCATATACATGATAACCTTTCAATATCTCTATTGCAAACCATACTGCCCGGAAGGAAAGAGAAGAAAGAGGAAAGAAAAATGTCTGTCATACAATCACTGAAACTTTGTAATGTGCCTGTCAAGCTGACAGGCAGGGGTGAAGTGGGAGTTAGGATGGCGGAGGGAGTCCGGGAACACTGGTGGAGGGATTGGTGTTGAGTTATTATATGCCTAAAATGCAACTATCCGTAACTTTGGAAATCATAACTTTTTCATAAAAATTTTCAAAAAGAAAAAAAGGGGGGCTGGAGTGATAGTACAGCGGGTAGGGCATTTGCCTTGCACGTGGCTGACCCGGGTTCCATTCCCAGCATCCCATATGGTCGCCTGAACACCACCAGGAGTAATTCCTGAGTGCATGAGCCAGGAGTAACCCCTGTGCAATGCCAGGTGTGACCCAAAAAGAAAAAAAAAAGAAAAAGAAAAAGAAAAAAAAAGGTGTTTGCCATAGAGGCAGGCTGGGGAGAGTGAAGGGTGGTAGGGGGGAAACTGGGGACATTGGTGGTCGGAAATGTACACTGGTGAAGGGACTGGTGTTAGAACTTTGCACAATTGAAATCCAATCATGAACAACTTTATATCTCATGGTGGATCTCACAGTGATTCAATTTTTGAAATTTTTTTTAAATCTACAGACTAAAGTGAGCATAGAGGCAGACAAGTGCTAGCAAAACGAAGTGGGAATGCTCATCATTTCTCAAGGTAGAAGGAAAGCAGAGTTGGAAAGTATGGTCGCCAGAGGTCTCTGAGATACTTGAGATCCAAACATCTAGTTCTCTCTTCATAAAATTTCTTCATGAAATTTCTTTTTAAAAGGCAACCACTCCATACCACATGGAAAGTATCATTCTAAGCGAAATGAGTCAGAAAGAGAGGAACAGACAGAAAGATTGCATTCATCTGGGGAACATAAAGTAAGAAAATAGGAGACTAATACCAAGAATAGCTAAGTACCAGGAGGTTTACTCCATGGCTTGGAGGCTAGCCGCACACGCTAGGGGGAAAGTCAGCTCAGATAGAGAAGGGAACACCAAATAAAGGGTGTTGGGAGGATCCGCCCAGGATGGGAGATGCATGCTGAAAGTAAACTATAGACCGAACATGATTGCCACTCAATGCCTGTTTTGCAAACCACAGCACCCAAATGGAGAGAGAGAACAAAAGGGAATGCCCTGCCACAGAGGCAGGGTGGGATGGGGGGTGGGGTGGGGCGGGGGGAGGGATACTGGGATCAGTGGCATTGGAGAATAGGCACTGGTGGAAGGATGGGTACTTGATCATTGTATAACTGAAACCCAAGCACAAAAATTTGTAAGTCTACAACTGTATCTCATGGTGTTTCACTAATAAAAATTAAAAAAAAAAAAAGGCAACCACTCCAGATCATAAAACAAAATTCGCCATGTCAAAATCTTTTTTGAGATTCCATTGGTGTTTCCTTCAGAATCAATGTAGAAGTACACTGAGTACAGTGTCTTCCAAGTACTGCCAGGAGGGATCCCTGAGCTCAGAGCCAGGAATAATCCCTGAGCATTGCCAGGTGTGGCCCCCAAACCAAAAATGTCTTAAAACTAAAGTACATTGAGTAAAGTAAGTTTAATTCAAGGTTTAATTCAAAGTAACAGAATCGTTTGGTTAGCATCTCTTTTACACTGAACATCTTGGGATATTTTGTTTTGTGTGGGGCCACACCTGCTGTATTCAGGTATCACTCCGGGTGGGGCTCTGGGGACCAAACAGGATGCTGAGAACTGAACCCAGGTTCAGTGCGTGCAAGGCAAGTGTGCTACATGCTATACTATCTCTCAGGTCCATCCTTAGGATATTCTTGAAAGTTAACCCAGTAAAGGTATGTATCGACCTAACAACTTGGTAGTTAAGGGTGCAAAAGGGAAATTCTGTTTTGACAGATATTCTGACGGACACACAGCTCTGGAACAGTATTGTGTGCAAAGGTTCCGGCATTCTTCTTGGTAAGGATCTATGAAACAGTAATAAGATTGGGTAACATTGGCAAGAAACCCTAAGAATAGAATACTGAGAATAAGGGAAAGGTCAAAGAATACTTGAAATCACTCCAAACTTTCTTTCCTTAAGATCTCTACTTCCCAAGGGCCAAGGAGAGGGCTCAAAGCATGAGCACATGCTTCCCATTTGGGAGTCCCAGGTTCAATCCGGAGCACTGGGTGTGGAAAAACAGAGTCTAGCTTTTTATCTTGTTTTCATTGTATCTCTAGGATATCCACGCCCACCCTAGTCTGCTCTCGCTTTCCTGGTAAGACTGAGTCTGCCAAAGGTAAAACCCTGAGAAGACTCAAAACTGAACTAGTCATGGGTACCCCTCCTCCACCCCTTGTTCTCCATCCCATTTGTCGAACAATGAGTGCTGGGGAACGTGCTCTAGCACTGAGCTACATTCCCAGTGTCAGGAATGGTTTGTCGGTAAGCATCAGAACTATCATGCAGACAAAGGGTGAGAGCACATGCCTTGTAGGCATCAAGTCCCCAGGTTCAATCCTGATGTGTCGCCTTCCCCCAGCCCTGCTGGGTGTGACTTTATTCACCCCCAGCACCACTGGACCCAAGCACTGTACTGAGTATTGCTGGGAGTGGCCCCCCAAGCCCCCTGAACACTACTTGGGAAGGTCCCCTAAAATTTCCAGGAAAGAAAGCTCCGCTAAAACGTATTCACTGAAAGGATTACAGGTCTTGCTAAGTGAAGCCTCAGCGTGAACAGGGTTATATAAATTTATTATATTTATTACATCTGCCTTTGTGTTTTGATGGCCTAAACTGGTACAAGGTTAAGTTTCACTGGAACAAATCCATGATTAAAATATTGTTATTTCACAAAGGAGTCAACTAAACCCTCAACAACCTATCACAAATTGCAAACATTTGTGCTGTTATCAAGTTAAATGGAGAAATAACAAAATCTCTTCATAAACACAAAGTTAAGTCTCTCTCAGCTCAAAAAGGCCACTTGGGCTTCATACTCGTCCTTTAGACAAGATGTTACATAGCTCTGTATTAAGCCCATTTATAAATGATGGGTGCTTTTATGAGAAAATAAATTAATTTCCATTTTCATTTTGAAAGGTCCAGAAGTCACCAAATGAAATCACCAAATTCTGAAATGAGTTAAGTATGAAACTTTCTGTTAAATATTTGCTTTAAATTTACTATTAGAGTAGAAAAAGAGGGCTGGGGTGATAGTACAGTGGGTGGGACGTTTGACTTGCAAGTGGCTGACCCAAGCGCGATCCCTGGCATCCCATATGGTCCCCCAAGCATCGCCAGGAGTAATTCCTAAGTGCAGAGCCAAGAGAACCCCTGAGAATTGCTGGGTGTGACCCAAAAAGCAAAAATAAAATAATTTTTTTTTAAAAAGTAGAAAAACATAGCAATTTCTACAGGCTAGCAAGGGAGCCATAGCAATAAATCTTGATAGTGATGAAAATAAAATCGAAGGTTGTCATTTGTATTGAATATTGTGTCACTGAATGTTCATTTCTTTCCTTGAAGTTCTGAAATAATTCGTTAATTTTCCGTTCGTTAGATGAAAGATCTGAACTATAAAGTTCTTATTCCTCAGCCCACTGATAGGTATTCCCACTAACATCTTTTTTCAGGAGAGTTTCTGATGTTGCTAGCATGAGCCTACTAGGAGTGATCCCTGAGCACTGGCAGGTGTGGCTGCAAACACCCCACACCCACATCCACACCCACAACTGCCCCTGCAAAAAAAAAAAAAAAAGTAAAGATTTTCTAACTAGGAAAACACGGTGAGCTCGGTACATAAATTTTCACTTTTTGTTTTTTCTGCCACATGCGGTAACATTCCATTCTTACTCCTGGCTATGCACTCGGGGAGACTATTTAGGGTTCCAGAGATCAAACCCAGATCAGATATGTGCAAGTAAAGCACTGTACTATCTCTCCAGTCCAGATGCCATTTATTTTAATGGGGCTTATTTTTTTGGTAGCAAACAGAAGTGGGTGGCTAGTGCTAATTTTAGAATCAAATCTTAGATTCTTAGAATAATTTTTTCACAATCTCAAAACCAAATTTTCTATTACAAGATGTTTTACAATTTTCTTTCCTTACCAGTTCTTTCAATTAACTGAGACTTAATTTATAAACAATCTTCTCAAATTCCAAACTAACCCAAAACTTACATTTACATTGACAGATGAAGTATCTTGGAAATCCTTCTCAAATAGTACCAAAACCAATGTAAAGACTATGAAACATAAAGTTGAATCAAAATATCACATAGCATTTAATTGTAAATATATTTATTACAATTTACAGATTAGTTAACAGTTATATATACAAATATAATTTTAGCTATAAAATCTCCACACGCTGGTAAATTAAATTACTGAATCTGCTGAAGCCATTTAAAAGTCCTCTAGTCTCTAATGTTACCTTTCTTAAATTATAAAAAAATAACATTTGATTCAAGTTAAAGATGAACAGGTGCTGTTAGTACATTTCAACACCAAGGAAAGGCAACTTTACCTGTCTGCACAAAGGTTTTCACATGCTACGATGATTCTTAAAGCACCATTTTAAGACTTTAAATGTATAAATAGTGAAAATTTTCAAGAATGTGGGTGTTTAACTTTGGTCTAACAACTAAAATCGGAATGAAACTCGAGTTTTCCTTCAGTCCACCTTAAAATGGTCCCTTCCATCCTGCCCACTGGCGTACGGTCACTTCTTTTAAACTGAAGTCTTGGCCTGGAATTAATTCATTTCATGGTAGGGTTGAAACCCTCAGAGAACAATTTCTCAAAACCCAACAAAGGTAAAAGATATTCCGTCATCTTCACATAAGGTGAGATGCTAGATTTCAGAAAGAAGAAAAGTCTAGATCTCTAAAATAAAATGCAGGCTTCCGTTGGGTCTTGAGAAAGCACATGTACTTTTCAAACACTTTTATTAAGGCCACCTGTGACTTCTTTCCAACTGATACAGGTGGTACTTCAAACTACCCAGCTTGGGCAGGAAATCCGACTCAACAGAAGAGCACAAGCCTTGAATGTGAGGCATCTCTGGGTACAATCCCCTACAAGAGCCTCAGCCCCCAGCCCCACCCCTACAATCTACCCTGTGGTCGGTTGTTAAACCAAGACTCTAAACGCATTCCCTGTGATTACCCAACATGAAGGTGTACTAAACACGCTGAGCAAGGGCTCTGCACAAATCTGACCATCTTTTATGATACTGCACTCTCAGTGTGTTCACTGATGAATCTATCAACACTGGAGGCAACTCTTAAGAACAAAACAGACAGAAATAAAATAATGACCAGGTAGACTATAAACTGAGGTAGTAATTCTGCAAGCACTCCAATGAAAAATTCATTCATACACTGAAATCAGTTAAAAATTAAAAGATCACCTATTCTACTCATATTTCTATTACCTGTGCAGTAGAAATAGAACATTTTGAAACTGGTTAATATGTCTTCAACTTAACAGAGAACACCAATAATAGGAACTAATTAAATAAACCAAGCACAACTAGTCACTGCAAAACATTCAATTCACAAGCAATCTTGAGTTAAGATATTAAGATTTCCCGTTATTAAATCTATAATTCTATCTTCTCCTGAAAGTATAAGCCTTACTATTCCAAGCCTTACTATTCCTTCTCTCATTAAAATAGAACACAATAAACTTGGATATTGACTGAAGTCTGCACATTTCAAACTGGAAAATTCCTAACTGCCCATTTCCAAGTTTACAACGTCACCCTGACAGGCATTTAAAAGTGACAGTGCCGAGAAATGATTGAGTAACACTGGTCTTCTGTGGAGAGCATACAACAAAACAAAATTGCTGAAATGCCTCACATTATCTTCCTTTTATATATTCTAGGATTTTTAATTTAAAAAATAAAAGCTTATGATGCAATCATTACTTTCTGCAGTCTTTTCCATTATTTTTATCTGCTCATAGATACAAAGAACCATTCAACTAGGAACTACAATAACATTTACAGAACCCTTTCCAGAGAGCAATTTAAGAGAGTAGAGACTAAAATTTGGCAGAAAGATGCAGCTTTCCCAAAGTACTACACATGCAGATCCTGCAGCGGTCCTTGGAGACCGGTAACCTATAACCAAACACACCACACATTTTCAACCAGTCATTTTTAGATGGGGAAAAAAAAAAGGTGACACCATGTGTTTTCAGTTAGCAAAAACCTGAACTTTTTTTTAAAGAAGGTGAAGAAACCATGAAGTCCATTAACTTCAGAATGGTCCGGGGAAGAACAGCCCAAAGTCTTCACGCATAGATTATAATCAGAAATGGGTTCTGAACCCTATAAATATCATTTTCAAAGAAAACGAGAGTTTTAAAAGTGCAAAATTACACCTTAAAAGGTTCTCTTTCACCACAGCAAATAAACGGCATTCAAAAACAGATCCATCTAAGGGAGGATAAGAAATCATACCCTTTCCCCCTCTGTTACCAAGGGCTGGCTTCAGACCTACGTGTGAGAGGGATGTAACAAAAAACTATGAAGCCAGGTCGCTGGACCTTCTGTTAAGAAGTCAGAGAACAGCTGCCAAATGTGTTTGAAAGACACCTCTGAAGAGGCAGAGCAAGTGAGGGCAGAGGCTATCACATCGCCTTAACATTGCTTGAAAACAAGTCCTTGGAAGCATGTTTCCTGTAGTCTATTAAACATTTTTTCTCTGTGCTCAAATGTCAAGCAATAGCCAATAGCATGTTCTGTTTCCTGAATTCGTTTCTGGAACCTGCATCCATCCCTGGCAAATTCTTCCCACGGTCCTTTGCGATCCTCATCACCACTAATGTAATACTCAGTAACTTCTTCAAGGAAGGTTACCTGGAAAGACAAAGACAAACGCCAATCACGCTTAGGATCTCAGGATCATTACAGACATCAACCATTTTGCTGATTTCACAATGTCAACTATGTTGCTCCCAACCACAGCAAGATTTCTATAAAAAGGGAGGGCCACAGATGCAGCTCAGTGGCAGAGTTCACCTGTAACAGGTGAGACCCTGGAAAAAAGAAACAAGAGGGAGAGGAAGGAAATTAAGGCTACGTAGATGGCACTGGATATGGAGGTGGGCAGGCGATGCCACCTTACCTTCCCACGTGTGCACACTGTCCCATCTCCACTGTTGTTCCGCTGTTCCCCTTTAGCCCTTTTCGCTTCGATGTTATCAAAAAATGAACTTGATGGGGAAATGATTTTTCCATTATTGACCCTTACCTTTTTCTTAAAGAAAAGTTCTATGATATGCTTCTCCAAAATGACAAATGTTTCTAAACAAGTTTTCAGAGATAACAGTCCTGAAGTCAATTCTTCTCACTAAAATATCAAAGCTTTGGGGCCAGAGATACAGTACAGTAGGTAGGACACTTGCCTTGCACACAGTCAACCTAAGTTCGATCCCTAGCAGCCCACATGATCCCAAGACCCGTCAGGAGTGATCCCTGAGTGCAGAGACAGGAGTAAACCGTGAGCACCCTACGTGTGTGGCTCTAAAACAAACAAACAAACAAAAAAACCCAGCAACTACACCTTCACTTATTTCTGCCTTTTCCCTCTCCTGTGGTGCTGGAGATGAAACCCAAGGCCTCGTAAGGGGAACCATAGACTTGATCAGAGCTATATCCCAAGCCCCTAGTTTTATTTTTTTAATTCACTTTTCAGGGCTGGAGAGATAGTAGAGTGGTAGGGGTTTTTTTTTTTTTTTTGCCTTGCACGTGGTGACCCAAGTTTGATTCCCAGCATCCCATATGGTCCCCCGAGCACCACCAGGAGCAATTCCTGCCAGGAGTAACCCCTGAGCATCAATGGGTGCAGCCCCAAAACAAAACAACAACCCCCCCAAATTATTTTTCAGTACTTTCAATTTCTGAAAATAAATTCTTACAATTTTAAAAAAGATGATAATTAAAATGAGAGAATTAAGTACTCAACAAAACCCACCAAAATTAACACTTTAAGACTATTTTAGACACTTTGTCATTAAGATAAAAACTTTTTGGCACAACGAATGGGAAAAGAGAGGGGGAGGGCTGGGGGGACATACGCTGGTGGTGAAAAGGGGTATTTGGAACACTGCATGAACTATCATTAACAACACTGTAAACCATTATGCCAAAAGTTTAAATAAACATTTTGGCTCAGGATGTGCCTCAGTACTCAGTTAACGGAGTACTTGTCTTGCATATTAGGGCCTGGGCTTAATCTTGGCACCCCACCCCACCTCCAAAAACAATACTCTTTGTCGTCTTTTCCTCATGTCATCACTATATATACACAAAATGATGACTGTGACCACATGCAATGAGTTCCTTTAATCCATATTTAATTTCTAGTATGAAAGTTTTTTTCTAAGATATCAAACTCCAAAGGTAAATTCTTGCTTTAATGTGTGTTCAAAGGTTACATCAGCTAATCCCACTGGAGCCGTCTACTTTCATTCCCTTTACATCAGGCCAAGGAATGCCCCTGAGGACAATTAGTAGATATGTAACTCCTTACTAGATATTGCATTCTAATGTTACTCACTGTATCACTAAAACAAATAATAACAAGAACTCAAATGCTGCTCCCATATGACAGGTTCTTTTCAAAGTGCTTCACAATTTTTAAGTCATTCACTCCATCTATGTACTCCCCCTACAGACACGGAACAGCAGCAGAGGTTAACTGACCGGTCTGGTAATCAGGATTCTGACCAGCTCTGCAGCAGGGCCATGCCAGGCCATGCCATGGGCATTTTAATCTCCCACACGACTCTAAGCATTCTAAGAATCAGGCACCACCCATTTCCCCACATACCTCAGGAAAGACTACCAAATAAGCTTCCCATATTTTGCCATATTTTGGATTCTTTTGTCTGTTTTGGGGGCCGCACCAGGCTGTACTCACTCAGAATCAGTTCCGGTGGGCTCGGGGCCCCATTTGGGGTGGCGGGGATTGAACCCACGTCATATGTATGCAAGGAAAGCACCCTACCTGCTGTACTATTGCTCCAACCCCCTTCCCATGTTTTAGATAATTTCTGAATAAATATTATTTCTAGTTCACAGTCAAGAACCCCACACTTACTTCACTTGTCTCCTTCTTACTCAAAGAACAAGCTAACATGAGACATGAAACTGGCCTGAGGTCCCTGAACAGTGAGGGGCCCTTTAAAGGGGAGGTAATGAATAGTGAGTTACCTTAGCCAGCTCAGTTAAATTACGTAATAACCCACACAACAGATGTCCTGGCCAGTATTATTCCCACCAGACAGGAGAGCAGAGGTAGGAGGGAGGCCGCGCTCCTTCCCAGGTCCAGCTGTCAGGCCTCCAAGCACCCTTGCTCAATAGGTCATTCCCAGGAACCCCTTAAATGCTTTTAACAGGGGGCTGAAGCAATAGCACAGCAGGTAGGGCATTTGCCTTGCATATGGCCGACCCAGGTTCAATCCCTGGCATCCCATATGGTTCCCTGCGCACCACCAGAAGTAATTCCTGAGTGCAGAGCCAGGAGTAACCGCTGTGCAACGACACCAGGTGTAATCGAAAAAGCAAAAAAAAAAAAAAAAAAAGCTTTTAACAGGACTTATTCTGAACTGACAAGTAAACTGTAAGACTACCAACATTTGAGACATTTTCTATCTCCTGACCAGTGTCCAAGTGTAAAGCCATCAAACCGGAACCAGCAGTCTGGCTCTGTGCTGGTTAACAGTAATCCCCCACTCATTCCTCTCTCCGAATAGACAATCATAGAAACTCTCCCTCTGCAAGGATACCCAGTGTGTTTGGGGGATTCTCTCCAATCAATTAACTTCTGGGGTCTTTTTTTTTGTTTGTTTGGGGGCCACACTCAGCGATGTTCAGGGCTTACTCCCGTGGTGCTCAGGAGTCCATATGGGAAGGCCTGATCAAACCTAGGTCAGCCACATGCAAAGCAAGCAAGCAAGTGCCTCACCCGCTGTTCTATCTCCCCCGAATTAATAACTTGTGTCAATAAACAAGAGATAAAAATTAAAAAGCAATTTGAAAGACTCCTATGTAAGGTTAACTTGCAAAGCGTTTAAAAAATCAAACACTTCAAGGAGGTTTAAAGCTTGGGAATAGGAAAACCAAACACCATCAGGGGTTGGAGAGATATTAGAGCAGTGTAAGGTGCTTGACTTGCATGCAACCATCCCGGGTTCATGCCAGTCATCCCAGGCATCCAGTAAGGTCCCCCAAGCACTGCCAAGAATGATCCCCCAGCCAGGAAAAAAAGGTCAGGTGTGGCCCAAAACCCAAAAAGAGATTCTTAAGACAAAAGCCAGAAGATAAATCTGACCTGCTAGTTTGGGGTGACGAGCATCAATAAAATATTAAAAGTGTCTGCAAACGACATACGCATTTACTATCGTTTTTAAATTCTGCTGCTGTAATAGGGCCGTCCCCAGTTCTAGAACTGGGCACACACAGGCTTAATATTCCTGCGTCGGGGCAAACTTGTAGAGAGGCAGCAGTCTGGAGCTGGCGCTCCCCCCCCTAATGCAAGCAGCACTCCCCTGCTAACACCACCTACCCAGCGTGAGGGTCTGATCTGGTCAGAACACCTGGGGGGGGGGGGGCGGGAGAGGGGGCACCCACTTCCACCCTGGCACCCGAGCTCCGAGGCCTTTTTTTCCTGCTGTGGCTAAGCACACGTCTCACTACCCGAGGCGTTGAAGGAAACGGACCGACCTTTTTCCTCCGGGCGGGCGAGTGTCCTTGTCCGAGAACAGACTGTCGCAGGCCCGCACACGCGCCTTCTGGGCTCCCGACCAGCCGCACCTTGCAGGACAGGACCGTGCGTCGCTCAGAAACGGCCACAAAGGACGCGGGGCCCCCGGCGGCGTCCCCGAAGCCTTTCCAGCTCTTCCCCGCCGTCTGGAAGGGCGCCTTGAAGTTGAAAAGGTTGTAGGGGTCGTCGGAGCGGCAGAAGGAGTTCCAGAGCCGGAGGCTCTCGGCCTCGTCGGCGCTCGACTCCCCATCGCCGCCGCCGCCGCCGTCGTCGTCGTCGTCCCCGCCGGGTCTCGGGTCTCCGCGCGGGTCCGCGGGCTGCCCGGGGCCGGGCCGCGCGCGGGTCCGGAGCGCCGCGGTGAAGTTGCGGGGGTCGTACGGGTCGCCGCTGTGGAAGGAGTCCCAGAGCTGGAGGCCGGGTCCCGGGTTCGCCTCGGACGACGAGCTGTCGCTGTCGCTGTCGCCGTCGCTGTCGCCGTCGCTGTCGAAGCCGTCGTCCTCGGACCAGTCCTCGCTGCCGTCCGACTCGGAGCCGGCGTCCGCGTCGGCCGGGGCGCCCCCCAGGATGTAGTCGATGAGCGGGTTGCTGCACGCGGGCCGCGCGGCGGCCACGCGGGGCGGCTCGTCGGCCGGGCCCGGGGGGGCCGCGCCCTCGGCCATGGGTGGCGCGTCCGCAGGCCACGTTGCCGCCGGGCCCGGCTTGCCCACGGCCGGCGGCGGCGGCGGCTCTTCAGTCAACAACTGGGCTCGGGCCACGGGGACCAGCGCGGTTCCGGAAGTGGCTCCGGCCGCGGGGCTCTGGCCGCCGCGCTTCAGGTCCACGCGCAGCAGGCCGTGCTCCTCCTCCAGGCTGTGATAGCCATGGTCCTGCTCGGGCGTGGGCAGCGTGGGCAGCGTGGGCAGCGCGGGCGGCGCGGGCGGCCGGCGGGCCTGCTGCAGGAACTCCAGCCGCTTCATGCGCAGGTGCTGGATCTCGGGCAGGCCCTCGCGGGTGGGCGGCGGGCATGCCGGGGGGCTGGCGGCCGCCCGCGCCGGCTCCAGGGGCGCACGGCGGCAGCTGCTGGAGCCGCCGCCGCTGCTGCTCTTGCTGCTGCCGGCCGGGCCGAGCGGCTGCCAGGGGCCGGGCCCGCCGCCCCGATAGCGCGGGCCGCCGCGCGGCAGGCCGTCCAGATAGGCCGGACTCAGCAAATAGGAGACGACGCTGACGCGGGGCGGCCCGGCGGGCGGGGAGCCAGGGTCCCGCTCGGCGAGCAGGCCGGCCAGGAGCTCCACGCCCCAGAGCCGCGGCTCCAGGAGGGACGCGGGCGCCGCGGGGGCCCGCGCCGGGCCCGGGGCCTTCAGCTCCAGGTCCAGGCGCGGGGCCCGGCACGGCCAGGGCAGCCCCTGCTCCAGCCAGTCCAGGGCGCAGGCGGCGGGGGCGGCGGCGGCGACCGCGGCGGCGTCAGGGCGCGGCGTCTTGGGCGCCGACGGCGCGGCCGGGTCGGCCCGCGCGCGCAGCCCCCGCCGGGCCACGGAGCCGCCGGCCAGGTCCAGCCAGCGGGCGGGCAGGAGCCCGCCGAGCAGCTGCGTCCAGAGCAGCAGGCGCTGCAGCAGGCCGGGCAGCGGCGCCAGCAGCTGGCCGAGCCGCCGCAGCCAGGCGCGGCCCGGGGCCTCGGGCTGCGGGGCGGCGGCGGGCGCGCGGGGCGCGGGGCGGCGGCGCAGGAAGCGGGGCAGCCCCCAGCCCCCGGGGCGCGTCCGCGGGCCGGCTCCGGGCTCCTCCATGCGGGGGGCGGGTGGGGCTGGGCTGCGCGGCGGCGGCGGCGGGCGGGACGCGGCGCGGCCTACACCGCCCGGACGGGGCCTCGCCGCGGGGTCGGGGTCCGCGGCCGGTCCCAGAAGCGCCACAGAGGGGAGCGGCTCCGGCCGCGGGCGGCGGGCCCTGCCGAGGAGCAGCAGGCGGCGGCGGCGGCGTCCATGGCGGCGGCGGGGGGCAGCCCTAGTCCGCACGGGGCCGGGCCACCATCGGCGGCGACTTCCCGGCACTGACTGGGCGCGGCGACCCCGGAAGGGCTGGGCTGGGCGCGCGCCTGAGCAGGGCACAGCCCAAAATGGCCGCGGGACGGCCCGGGCACGAGCGGACGAGGCGAGCGACGGCGGCGGCGGCGGCCCAAGCCAGCAGCAGCCGCGCGCCGCCGAACGTCACCGCGGCCCGGCGGGAGCGCGCGCACTTCCGGGCGGCGCCTGATTGGCTGCGCCCCGGGGCCCCGGCCCCGCCCCCGCCGGCCGCCGCCGCGGCCCCGGTTGCATCAGCCCGCCCGGGATCTGCGCGTGCGCACTGCTCCTCCGCCGGGCCCGGGGAGGCCGCCCCGCCCACGGATGCCCTGGAGCCCTTTTAACGGCCTAATACACCCTCCCCCCAGGGGGGCACTCCTCTCGCTAGCGTGCAGTGTGGTTAAGTGAAGGGCTGAGTCCCTCGTCTGCCCTCAGCGCTCGGTTTCGTAGTAAGAGTGGGCGTATGTCGTACAGACTTGGACAATTCACTTAGTATCTCTTGAGGATAAACTTTCTCTTTGTTGGAAGGATATCACAAGATCTTGTCTTTATTAAAGGACACTAAAATTCCTGCCCCCCCCCAAAAAAAAAGTAAGAGTGGGGCCGCGAGGAGATTGCCAACCGGTTGCAAGGCTTAATCCTCAAGTGAGTCAGGAGGGAAACATCTCGGCGGAAGAAGAATCATTCTTAGGTGTCAATCAATCACTCTAGGTGTCCCTGCCCGCTGTGTCTTTCGGACTTGCAAATCGCTGTTTTCTCCCTGCAGTCTTTCAGCGGCTCCAACCCACAGACCTCCGCCACGAGTAAGGGGAACGTGTGTTTCTCAGGTTACCCTGACCCCTTCAGTGGGGCAAAGCCGAGTCCCAGGAGGAAGGAACAGACCTGTTCCCTGAGCATTGGTCGGCTTTGAAATGTGAGCCCGGGAACTGCAACACCCAAAGAAGGAAGCACAGACTTCCTTCCTTTGAAATAATTGGTAACTGAAATAATCTTTTGAAATGATTAGTAATTTTAGTGGCTAGATTTGACTCTCTCGTGAGTTAGGTCTTACTTCATTTATTTCTGCTTAAGTTCCAAGAGCCAGGAATAAGCCCTGAGCACAGGTTGGGTATGCCCAACTCTCCTCCATTTCTGCTAAACTTTTTATCACTATTCTCTTTTGGGCTTTTTTTTTTTTAAATTGCATTGAGGTTTTGGGGTCACGAGCTACCGAGAGTATCTTGCCCGCTCGGCAAAGCCTGGCAAGCTCCCGGAGACTTGAGTATGCCAAACACAGTAACAAGAAGTCTCACAATAGAGACGTTACTGGTGCCCACTTGAGCAAATCATGAACAACGGGAGGACAGTACTACAGTGCTACAGTGAGACTGGAACAGGCACGTGAGGAGAATGGAATAAACTGCAACTGATCATCAACCCGCTTGGCTCTCGTTTCCTCCTCCTTCCAACAAGGGCATCAGCTGTCCCACGTGGGCAAGGAGCTGAGTCCACCGAAAGCAGTGGCAAGAGGGAGAGTCACGGGGCTTTCCCTAGCTGCCCAGAGATTACAGAGTAGCAGCCTGTAAGAGAAATCAGCAAGCAGCTCCCTGTAACCCAGCCATAATCAGGGCTTGCTCCTGGCTCTGCACTCAAGAATCACTCCTGGTGGTGCTTGGAGGACCGTATGGGATGCTGGGTATTAAACTCAGGTTGACCACCAGCAAGGCAAGGGCCCTACCCACTGTATAGCCCTAATCACTACTCTTAAAGTCAAGTATCTGTTAAGGAGGGAGGGTTACAATCCTGAACACCAGCGCCCATAAAGCTTTGGGGAGTCTGCAGATCCTGCTGAATTGAGATTGCTCAAAAAATAGCCTCTACTTTCTCAAAATTCCCATTCTTTGCCTTTTTAGTAGCCATATCTCTGAAACACCTCATGTTCAGTCCTAAGAGCGATAAAAAAAAATGAGTAATAAAAGTTTAACACTAGCAAAGACTACAGGGCCAGAGAGAGTAGCGGATAAGGCTCTTGCCTTGCCACTGGCATGACCCTGGTGTGATCCCTGCCATTCCGTTTGGTCCCTTGAGCATTGCCTGGAGTGAATACAGATGCCAGAGTAACCCCTGAGCAGCTCTGGGTGTGGCCCCAAAATTGAAAAAAAAATAGAGATGTTTTAGAGTAGTTGCTATATTATAATAGGCAAATTAAGTAATTGAAGCCACTGACACCCGGCCCCCTTTTTTGTAAAGTGAGGCTAGTTCTCCTTGAAAGGGTTGATGAGAGATCAGTTTCAGGTAGAGAATAGGGAAATAACATTCCCACATAAACACTCAGGGTCTGCCCTCAGGAATCACTCCAGGCAGTGCTCAGGATAAAATACAGGATGCCAGGGTTCGAACCTAGGTCAGCCACACGCAAGGCACGCGCCTTACCCTTTCTTTGCCTGTCACTCCAGCCCCGACACTGGAGCTTCTTCCATACTGTTTCTAGGCCAAGCTAGCCCTGGCCTCCCCTGCTCTACACCTATTCATGCATGGGGAGGTGTCCAGCTCAGATATCAGCTCCTTTGCCGAGTTTGGCTGACCTTGGCAATCAGAATTATGACAACGGTCACAGCCCATTACAGAACTTAGCATACTGTTGTGTAAATGCCCGTAAGTGTCACCCTGATGCTCCAGCTCCAGGGCTCAACCTAGCACAAGTGGTTCCCAAGGCATGATCTAGGGATCCTGTCTTAACTGTTTAGGTAGAAAATATGTTTTCTTTTTTCCCTGGGGGTTGGAGGTGGGTGGGAGTGGGAAGGGGCAGTTGGATCATACCAGGAATGATTTGTGCTCAGGAGTGATCCCTGGCAGTGTTTGGGGACCCACACGAGGTGCTGGAGATCCTCGTTGTATAAGGCAAACACCTTACACTAGCTTTACAGGCCCCTCAATATTTTCATATAATATTAAGCTGTTATTTTCTGGGTCTTTTGCAGGTGGATATTGAGCTCTACTCAGTGGTCCTCAAGGCTCAGAGGTCATTCCTGGCGGTGGTCAGGGGACCAATTTGGTGCCAGGTATGGGAGAGAGATCAGCTGCATGCAAGGCAGATGCCTTAACTCCTGTATCTTCAGCTCTGTTATTTCATTTTGAATTCTCATACCCAAAACATAATGACCACAAAGTCAAAACTTACTTTTGCCAGTTTACAAACCTCAGAATGAGAAATAAATGGTTATTTTTAAAAATTTACTTAGAACTTCATGCTAGAACAAGAGATCTAGTTTAATGGGCTAAGCTCAAGCTTCGCATGGAGGAGGCCCGTGTTTGATACCTGGTACACCGCCAAGAGTGACAAGCACTAGGCCAGGAGTAGCTCCTGAGTACTGCAGGGAATGATCCCCTTGGAAAAAAAAAAAAAACTACCACCTTATTCTGTATTCATTTAATGGAAACCTGACTAAATCATTTAACTTGGTTGCTTGTGGTTTCTGCTCTGTCTTGATTTTACATTCTGAAGATATTTAAACTTCAAGAAATAGCTAATTCACTTCAGATTTAGGTTTCTGTGGTGCTATTTTTCAATAATATTGTATTATTTCAATATTTGCAAATATTCATGTTATAACATTGATAATACCAGTGACCCATTGTGTTTATGTCAGTCTATGATCATTTAAATCTTTAATAGCAGAAATACAAATTTGAAATTAGACTAAAAAAACTTATCTTCAGAGTGTACTGTGGAATTATCTAGAGGGTGAGGTATGTGATTTAGCGGCACATTGAATGCAAAAGCAGGTGTGAAACTTATAACTTATTCTTTTCTTTCTTTCTTTTCTTTTTTTTTTTTGCAGTCTCAGGGATCAAACCTTACAGGTTCATGGCAAGCTACACCCCAGTCCAAAATTCTGTCCTCCCTTAAGGATATTTGGAAGAAAATCTAAAAATAATGCCATTCTTATTAATAATTACTTTGCTTTGAAAATTAAGCTTTCATTTAAAAATTAGCATTTAATGCTTTATTGTTTTTTAAAAATTTATTTTTATCTTTTATTGTTTTGCGGTTTTGGCCACATCCAGCAGTGCTGGGGCTTCCTCCTGGCTCTCTTCTCAGGGGTCACTCCTGAAGGTGCTCAGGAGACCATATGAAATGCCAGGATTGAACCCAGGTCCATCCTGTGCAAGGCAAGAGATAAGGCCCCTTACTCGCCTATCTCTCTGGCCCACTATGTAAACAGAAGTTCTTTAGGGTCCTCGGTAACTTTTTTTTTTTTTTTTGGGCGCGAGAGATGCTAGTGATCAAACCTCAGACCTTACCTTACACATGCAAGGCCTGAACTCTATCACCACACTCTACCCCTAGCCCCCACCCCCAACCCCACAAATTTTAAGACTGAAAAGGTGGAGGAAAAGAGCTAGTTCATAGGGTCAGAGCGACAGTACAGTGGGTAAGGCACTTGCCTTGCATGTGGTTCAGTCCCTGGCACCCCATATGGTCACCAGAACCTGCCAGAGGTGACCCCTGAGCCAGAAGTAAGCAAACCCTATGTACAGTTGGGTGTTACCCACGAAATAGACAAAAAGAAACTTTGAGAGCTCGTTCACGGGGCAGAGTGCATGCTGGGAAGGCCCTAGTGCCAATGAAAGTGGTACCTAAGACCAGATTTGGGATCCTCTGACTTAGCTGTGCTGAGCATCACATGTCTGTCAAGTAATAATACTTTCTTTTTTTCCTCTTTTTATTATTTAAATGTAGGAGTATTGCTATTTATTCAGCCATTGATTAGGCTGATTGAATGGGGCATGAACTCCACCTTACTTTTTTTTTCTTTTTTATAAATTTATTTATTGAATCACCATGAGAGCAGTTACAAAGCTTTTGGGTTTAAGTCTCTGTCATACAATGATGAAATAACCGTCCCTTCACCAGTGCCCATTTTCCACCACCAAAAAGAGAAAAATAATAATTTCATAGCAATTTACAATGCCCAAGCCTCTCA